CTTTTTCCCCTCATTCTGTATCTATGATGGAAACACTGTAGAGTTTGAAAAATGATAGCTTTTCCTCTGTGACTTCTCTTTTTCTTTCCCTTCTCAGAGCTCTTCCCGCCATGATGCAGTGGGTCCGAACGCAGAAGCCAGGAGAGAGTGGCATCAATATTGTCACTGCCGATTTTGTAGAACTGGGTGATTTTATCAGCACTGTCATAAAGCTCAACTATGTCTTCGATGAAGGAGAAGCCAACACTTGATAGTACCATTAGGAGTGTTCATGAATAAGAGAGAGAAGACTCATTGTGTTAGTCATATTATCTTATAAACATGCTGATCTTCCTATTCCACTGAGTCTCTGAGAGATTTAGGGCTGGTAGTGGGTGGGAAAAAAGGGAAATCTTTTTTTTTTTTTTTTTTTTCCCAGTTGCTATCATCATAACTTGCTTTACTATAAATATTTAATTTCCCACTTGGTGAGCAAAACTTTCTTCTAGTGTTAGGGAGTAAAAAAAGACCAGTGAATTTTGGTTTTCAAAATTAGTCTTTGTAATGTGTAACTCATGAGTATTTAGTTGATCATGTTTTCTGGTTTCAACCTAGGGCTCCTCTTCCATCCGTATTCTCTAAGTGCAGCTTTCCACTCCCTCTTTTGCTCACTCTCTTTAATCACATGCTGTATGGGACTCAAAACAATAGAATGCCTGCTGTAAAATATATAACCTTGTTGTGCTCAAGTTCATTTGCTTTGTGGGACTTAGTATATATTCTGCAGTCATCTGTTAATTGGGCAGTCATACCCCAACTTTTGGTCATAGGAAATATGCATCAAATCAGTTTCCCTGCATCTGTAATATTGGAGGCCATAATCATTGATTTTTGTGTTACATGAAAAGAATGGTGTTTCACAGTACTTCTATTTAAGGCAGCTATAAATACAGAGTGAAAACCTTTTCAGATAAACTATTATTGCCAACTCTATGGTGAAAAACATGAATGGTGGAAGAGGGGAGGTGGATGCCCATTTTGATTGAGGATCCTCTTAAATAATATTGCCCTGCAAATGCAAATGCATTTGATAAATTAAAGCAAGTGGGTTAAAATCAGAAAATGCTAAAGGGAACTCTTGCAAAAACTCTCCTAATAATTATCTTCATTAAAAAAGAAAAAAAAGAGAGAGAATAAAAGAAGCAAAGGAAGATAGAAATGAAAGAATATGCAATCTCTCCTACTAAATTGGGATTTCAAACTATGTAATTTTGGATATCATCACATTTTGAGGAACATTTTCCAAGAAGCTTCCATTTGGGTTTTTGCCTTGAAGGGAGAAAGGAGGAAGGACATAAAAAGGAGTTAAAGCAATGTTTTTCTAAGAACATGTAAACTCTCACAAAGATCTATGGAGCATTTCTAGAGGCTTCTGGAAATACCTGTGATCTGGGTGGCCTTGGTGAAGACTGGTAGTGACTCATCGATGACTTCTGAGCCCATCCTACCTAGGGGTGGGATTGAGGCAGAGGCAAAAATTTGACAGGAAGTTTCTGGGGCCTAACATTTGACAGTCCAGATTTACAGGGGAAAAAAATGATAAAGCAACTTTAAGCATTGCTTCCTCATTGGTGTTCTTGTGAATTTGACAGCTCTAAAATAATCTACAAAAGAGCACAATGACCCTTGCATATGTTCCCCATAGGACTATTGTGAGGAGTTTGACGAAAATGTATAACATTTTCTGCAAATCTTAAAATTATGTTCTATTTTATCTTCATGTTAAAAATCAATTCACCTCAACAATACAGTCCAAGCAAAATGGAACCATAGAGAAATAGCATGCCATCAGCTTTTAATTGATTTAACTATTAAACATTGGTTTTAATCCTTTATCCTAGGTAAGGGAGTTGATTTCTGATTACAAATACTCATTATCATAAAGCAGTGTTTATTGGCAACTCCAAGGAACAGAAAAATTTTGTACTGAAGGTAATGTTTGATGATGAGAGATGTATAGGTACATGAGATAGACCAAGTAGCATGCTTATGAACATATCAGCTGTGTGTTTATGTTTCACCACACACAATAGACCAAAATATACCCATTCCTGTGCAGACAGAGATCTACAAATACTCAGAAACACACACAGACTGATAGAGATTCAGTGGTAATTCTTTTTAAATGAACACATTGATAACATTTGTTAAATTTTAAGATTGCAACTCTTAAAAATGTGAGTAAAGGAGTGATATGATCTTTGAAAGTAGAGTAGCTGATT